AGAGTTTATATATATATTAAACATATTTATCAATAAGGGCATCAGTGGGGTTTCTCTTTCTATGTATTCTATGGCGGTTCAATGACCGTTTTGGTGACTTGTTTTTATTTTTCAAAAACAAAACTTTCCGCTGACTGTGCATATCATTAGCCTCGTGTTGTTGTTGTTGTTGTTGTGTATTGCATTGGCACCCCCCCCAAAAAAAAAAAAAAAACCAATCGACAGCTACAACAGTAGCCATTGCTGCCATAAAAGACCAGATCCAGGTCTCTTCGTGACTCAGTTTGCTCGCCGCTGTGGAAATTGAGCAGCGAAGCGTGCCACACGCTGCAGCACGGCTAAAGCCACCAGTTGTTGTTGTTGTTGCTGTTGTTGTTTCATTATGGTGGCTTGTTATTGTTGTTCTGCATTGTGGCTTTGGTTGCAGCCGCTGCAGAAAATGGCTTTCAGTAAGCATAAAGACTGCCCAACGCTCGGTGCCAACGCCAACGCCAGAAAAGTTGCAGAGCACAAGCCACAGTTTCAACAGAAGTAATACAAATTATTTATCATTACACATAACATATATATAGAACTCTATAAAATACAAATCATTTGCCTATTTACAGCTTAGTTGCTGCGTGGTTTGCCAGAGACGTTTGCCATGATGCGCTATTCAGAAATATCGCGCGACCTGTCCACGGATAATCTGCGCTACTCGGAGGTAGGTTTGTGCGTTTTCCAGCCACATTCTTTACTCATATTTCTATTTAACACACACACACACACACAGCTGAGAAGAAAACCTGCAACGGATTATGTGGGCTATGCCGGACAGAAATTTGTGACAGCTTCGCCCGCACAGTCCCGCTGCCAGCCACAGCAGTTGGCATCGCCGCAGCTGACACAGCGGCCGTCGAAGCAGCGCAGTTCCAATGGCAGTGCACACACCATGGCCTGTTTGCGTCAGGACAAAAGCCAGCAGGAACTGCAGGCGGAGCACGAACAGGCGCAACAGCCCGTCAGCAAGACGTTGAATATTAAAAGCACACGTCGCAAGAACTCTATTGGCTGCCTGACCAGCTTCAGCTCGTCGCCGGACTCGCCGGGTTGTTACTACAGCATAGCGTGAGTACATGTCAAGCAAATCAAATAAATATGTATAAATTGGTTCATTTAATTTCGCACTTGCAGTACAACCGCAGCGCCAGCGAACAAATCGCAGAGTTTGCCAGCGCATGGCTCTATTAAGCAACTGGATGCGGTCATCTTGAGTGCATTGCGTGTGCCCGCCGATGTGCTGGCGAATCAGATAACGCTGCTCGACTTTCCCGTCTTTGCGCTCATACAGCCGGACGAGCTGAGCAGCTGTGCCTGGACCAAAAAGGACAAGCATGTGGCCACGCCAAATATTGTGGCCTTTACCAAGCGCTTCAATCACACCAGCTTCTGGACGGTGCAGGAAATACTCAATGCCGAGCAGCCCAAGCAGCGTGCAGAGATCATGACACACTTTATAAAGGTGCAACAATCAGCGTGTATTAAAAGTTAACTTTATGCTAAACCTATTTACTTTTCAGGTGGCCAAAAAGCTGCACGAACTGAACAATCTGCACTCGCTGTTTGCCATTATCTCGGCCATGCAGAGCGCCAGCATTTATCGTCTCAAAAAGACCTGGGCCTGTTTGTCCAAGAAGGACCGACAGTCCTTTGAACGCCTCAGCGATATATTTAGCGATCAGAACAACTGGGCTAATTTGCGCTCGTACTTGGAGAGTCTACGTCTGCCGTGCATACCCTATCTGGGCCTATTTCTGACAGACTTGATTTATATTGATCTGGCGCATCCGCACAAGGGCGGCTTGGAGCCGGATCAGCGGCGCAACAAGATGAACAACATACTGCGTGTCATCTCCAATTACCAGCAGTCGGATTATCAGCACATACAGCCGCATGAGCCCACGCAAAAATATCTGACCTCCATACGCTACATTGAGGAGCTGCAGAACATATTCGAGGAGGATCAATACAAGTAATTATGATGAAATGAGTAGATGTGCGAGTAAAGTTTCATTTGTAATTCAATTTGAACAGACGTTCGTTGAACCTGGAGCCCGCCTCACCCTCCGGACCCAGTTCGTCCTCCTGCAGCTCGAAGGAATCATTTAATGTGGAATCGATAACACCAGCGTTGGGCTGCTTGAATCTATCGCCCGCCAAGACCATAGGCTCCATGCGCATGGCCAGCGGCACCAAGTTTGTGCCCGGCCATCGCAAGTGCCGCAGCCTGGGCACCAAGTAAGTCACCCAATTGCATTTTTATTTATTCAAATCGTTGCGCGCATTCTCTAACTGCCAATCAATACACTATTTCGTGTCTCGTCCCAACAACAACAATCAATAATCAAAATCAATTTTCGATTTCGTTTCTTAAACATCACTCGACACAAAACTCACTGTGCAATTGGACTGAACCTTTGGGGGTCCCAAACATAACTCTATATCAATTTTTAAACTCATACTATTATTATTATTATTGTCTCTTTTTCTACGTCTCACTTATGCTTTTTGCTTTTGGCTTTCGTTCTGTATCTTTGTATCTTTGTATCTGTATCTGTATCTGTATCTGTGCCTCTTTGTTTGTAACTGCAACTGGCTGCGCATTAGATTTCGCAGCAGCAGCCTGCCGCGCAATTTCGCACAAAGGTGCCAGTGCTGCATTGTGATGATTGCGCCGGGCATTGGCACAATCTCGAACAAGCGCTGCAGATGCCGTCGGTGAGTGCCCCGTAGCTAGGATATACAATAGGAATAATCAGCTGCTTACTTATCCTTTTATCAGTTCATCAGTTTTTGTGCACGGACCCAACTTAAAATGCTTCCATATAAACGAGACCCATAAACACATGTAAATACGAAAATAATGTTATCTTCGGAGTTCCGAATGTTATATACACTTGCAGATATAGAATAGCCTTTTTTATTTCGATACTGAAAATAGTTTGACTCGGATCTGTTTTATATTGTGTTTCCGTGTGAATAGCAAAAAGTATATTGGGCGCATAGTTTTATTGTTTATTAAAGTTACATTTTTCTCCGATTGTTTCATTGAGAGCTATATGATATTCCCCTTCGAAACTTATATGCTCATATAAAAGAAGCTTATTATGGTCAAGAAATCTAAGAAACTCCATGAAATAACTCTTTTTTCGGTCGTTCGTTCCTAAGGCAGCTACATAAATGATATAGTGTTAAGGTCTGATCGTCTAGCCTGCTGAAAAGAAGAATCTGCCTTTGACTGTGGAAACGGTTAAAGAGTATATGAGTTATGGGTTCAGGGATGTTTCCTTTACTGGGTCACACATTGCGTGACAAAATTATAAAGCGCCCCTCTGCATGGGTATAACAACAGACAACACACAACACACGCCCACACACACACACGCTTTTCTTTGGGTCTAAATTAGCCGTATGAATTAAGCCAATTGAATTTCGTTTCGCTCATCTCTGCCACATGCATCACTCACCCACACTCGCACACCCACACCCAAACGCACACGCACCCTCTCACACACATCCACACACAACAGACACGCATACGCACACGCGCTCTTAGCTGCTTTACTTTGTGTTTGCTTCAAGCCATTTGAACGCCTGCCTGCATGACGCCCCTACTGTGCATATATATAAGGCGTGCTGTTCCGACAAATATCTATATCGTCTGTGCTTTCGCAGTATCTTTGGCAAAATCGCGCCGAACAACTACGAGGGACATCCGCATCATTTACATCTGGAACTCGATGCAACGGTCCAGCAGCCGCGTCATCATTTGCTCGACGACTCTGTGCTGGAGCACAGCGATGCGCTGTCCAGTGCGGACCTGACCTCGCTGGAGAGCGCCGAGGGCATCTTGTGCGATTTCATGGGCAGCAATTGCGATCTGATGTCGCCGGAGGCGGCGGCTGCCATGCAGGGCTGTGTGCGTCGCAAGACCGTGCAGAAGGAGGGCAGAAAGCCCGCGGTTGCCTCCTGGCAGCGATACTGGCTGCAGATCTGGGCCAATTCGCTTGTCTACTTTCCGCCCAAGTCGTTCAAGGGCAGCGAACGCGGCGACTTCAAGCGCGAACCGTGCAAGGTGTGCCCCCTGGAGGGCTGGTATGCCCATGTCAGCGACAATACCAAGCACAAGAACACATTCGAGCTATACCACCGCACCCTGGGCACCGTTTACAAGTTTCGCACGGACAGTCCGCAGATGACGCATCTCTGGACGAATGCCATTTGCAAGCTGGCAACGACGCGCGTGCCAAAGCCACTGCCCGCCAATCTGATGTCCTTCGAGTGAGTCATTGGCAGGACTGCAGGACTGGACACCAACGAAAATGATGCAAAAAACTGTACTCAACAATTGAAACTAATTAGCTGTTCATTTACTCACGATTTCACTTTGCAACGCAACTGAAAATCACGCAAAACAGAACATTCCCGCGGCTCTCTGCTTGTTCAAGCAACCCACACTCCGAAAATCACAACAACAACAAGAACAACAACAAAAACTAACTAACGAACAAATTGTAATTTGCAAATGTAACGATTTCAAATGGTATTTCAAAAGACTGACAGACTAGCAGAGAACAAGATAAAGATGAAGATGGATTACAGAGAAAAGGAAACACTCAGAAACACACGACACAGTCTAAAAAACAACACGATAAATGATATTGGTCACAGCTAACAACAATTAACTATGGGTTATATCTAGACTCTTCGGCCGATTTCTCAACTGTTGCCGGCTGTGGCTATATGGTTCACTATCTCGAATGCTTTTTGTGCTGTAGCCTAAATGTTTAATTAATTGTCTGCGTTTATCTTGTAATTAGCATTAAAAGCATTAATCATATACGACGATTTAATTAACTATGTATGTTCATATATACATATATATATATGCGCTGATTGTGCCATATTAATTTTTAATTAAAACATAGTTTTAAACACGATTTACACATACACATTTATATACATATATATATATATATATATATATAGAACAAATCAACTGCACTTTATGCAAAACATTTGTACCGCCTTTTCTTAGGCCAAGTCTAACTATAATTAATTAATTGCTTAATTCCAAGTGTCTAAGGTAAACGTTCGTTCTGCTTAACTATTTTGCAACAAGGAATCAAAAACAAAAGAAATAAGAAAACTATTTAACGCATACTCGAAACGGTAAACATAGGCTTTAAATAAGAAATATTAAGAATTGCTAACACGATTTATGCTATTTTGTTGCATGTTAGGGTCAAGTTTTAGTTTATTTTTTTAGCTTAAGTATCTAGTTTTATATGTTGCATGTTTTCTCTAGACAATACAGCTTGAATTCTACAAAAAATCGAAAACTATGTTAACTATGGGCAACAGTTTCTTCAGATACATCAGTTAGATATATAAACATATATATATATATATATATAGATATACATTTACTTTGTTAAGCTTTGGCACTCACACATTTGATTTGCAGAGTCTTAGCTTAAGCATATAAAGAAATGCAGCGAACAAAAGTCGATTAAAGAAACAATACGAAAACTATCAAAACTAATGCCCTTTTATGTGCATTATATAATGTCGTACGTTATTTATAACAATTTTCACCGCGCGAATTTGCAATTCATTTGCGCGTTTGCTTCATGAATTTCAATAAGTGGCACCGCAACATTTCGAGCTAGTTAACTTTAAGAGCGGAGTCTTTTAAGCTTGCCAGTCGATTGCGAAACATGAAAGGGTCCACAATTAGAGGCAGCAGCCAAGTTAAGAGTGACAGGATGATAATGATGACAGCAGCCCAAGCCAAACGCAGCTGTGGCCGTATTTATGGGCTGGCTTTCCCGTTGCTGCCGCTGCTGCTGTTGCTGCTTCTCCTCCTCCTCCTCCGCATAGATGGCGGTGTGGGCGGCAAGACAACGACCATGTAAGTGTTGAGGATGTTATGTAATCGCCAGTCGGCGCAACGACTTTCACCCAACTGTACAGCACCAGTCACACTTCCTGTTTGCCCCACATGCAGTGTACGTCATACGGATACAGTGGAGCCGCATTTGGATGGCTTCTGGACAAACAGGACCACCTGGAATGCGCGCTGGGTGAAGTACTGGCGCGCCAAGCGCATTTATGAGCCTGTCTGGAAGAAAGTCTGGACGCCCACCATACTCAATGAGTGGGTGCCGCTGCCAAATGCGCCGCCGCCGGATGCCTGGCAACAGCCGGAGGATAAACAGGATAAACAGCAGCTGCACTCCAGCTAGACCTAGGAAAGACTGACTACTACAATTAAGATTATTTATTTATTTATTTGTTAATTAAATGCTGTTTAAGTCTAGAGATAATTTAAGTGTACGCCGAATCAAAGGGGGACCTTACGTGCTAGCGACTGGTTTACAACTATTTACAAGGAGCTTGGAACCGGACGGTTGGCATATGTTATACATATAAATGTTCGCAGATGCTCTACGCGCCCGGAAACTTAAATGACTGCGATGTGGCGGCGGCGCCGGCGGCAACCGGCGATTTGGCTGCCTCGAGCGTCTTGGCTTGGAAATCTGCACTGGCCACTGGCTGCAGTAGTGTTGGCTTTGACGCGGAGGCATTGCTGTCATCCCGTTTCCAGACAACCTTATCCTTTTCGTTGGTGGCGCCTTTGTCTTTGCGATCCCAGTCCCAGCCAACGTCATGATGGTGATGGTCGTGATGGTGATCGGGTGTGGGGAACCATTCGGATATTACAACGGGTTTCCAGATTTTCTTCCAGCCAGGCACCCAAATTTCCTTCCAGCCGGGCACCCAGATCTGTTTCCAGGCCTCCTTCCACTCTAGTTTGTCGTTCCAGATTTGTTTCTTGGCTGGTTTCCAGTACTGCTTCCATGCCTCCTTCCATTCCAGCTTCTTCTCTGGCACCCAGATTTGCTTTTTAGCTGGCTTCCAGATCTTTTTCCAGTGTGATTTCCATACAACCTTCTTCTTCCACAGATCGTGACTGGTATACTCCCAACCCTCATGATCCTTGCCCAGATATTTTTCACCAGGAATGCCAACCTACAAACAATACAGTTTATTTTAGTATTGCAAACAATGGACTTTTTCTGAACCTTACCTTGACTAGTTCGGGAGTCCAGTACTGCTTCCAGTCGGGAACCTGAATATCCTTCCAAGCGGGCACTAAAATCTCCTTCCAATGCGGCACCTAAAACAAAGTTTTTGAATAATGAATAAGAATTAACAGAACCCCAGACGCGTAACTCACCCATATTTGCTTCCACGCGGGCACCTGAATCTCCTTCCAGCCTGGCACCTTGACCCAATGCGGCTTGTAGATCTGTGAATGAATCAGATTAAAGTCAGCTTTGAGAACATTCTTTATATGTTGCTTTGATTACCTTCTTCCACGATGGATTCCAAATTTGCTTCTTGGCTGGATTCCATATCTTCTTCCAGCCCTCCTTCCACTCGACTTTCTTCTTCCAATAGCCGGGATCGTGATGCTCGTGATGCTCATGGTGTTCGTGTATATGATGCTCGTGTACGTCATGCTCGCCAATGCCGAGATCGAGACCCAGGCCAAAGCCGTCTCCGATGCGCTGCTGCGCTACGCTCTTGCCGCTCACCTGGGACTCGGCTGCCTGCTGATCGCCCACGGCTTTGGCATGGATGCCTCCGGTGGCGACAGAGAGCGCGCCGAGCAAACCCAACTTGAAGTAAAGCAAAGTCATTTAATATTAGTCAACATCGAATAAAACGAAAGACTTAGGCAACGAACGCGCCCGCTTAGGGATCAAGCCGTATTCGCAACGATTATGTTAATTAATTAAATATTCTTCATGTGAAGCGTAAAAGCCCACAACTGGTTTTAACTGGGTCAGCCAGTTGCCGACTCTGTTTGTCCCATTCTGCTCAACTCTTTTTTTTCGCATTGTTCGCACTGAGAGTCCATTGACTGCGCCCAGACAAAAAGTAAGAGTGAAATGTTGCGTCACTTTCTTATTTTTGTTGGGCATAAATATGCCAATGTGACATGATAGAGCCTGACCCAACTACAGGTCAAAGCCAGCGGCTGGCAATTTTTGTGTGTCATATTCGGTTGTTTTTATTTGCTGGGGCTGCGACTCTTTCTTTACAAGAGCCAAAGGTCTGCTGGCATTATGCAAATGCCCGCTTTTGGGCCTGTCTCTGTCTCTGTTTGATTTGGCGTTGGCGTTGCCAAGCTCTATATTTGGTGCTACTGGCGAGGTCATAGTATTTGGCATCAATTTGTTGTCATCTTTGGGCCGGGTATTTCACATAATCCACATCTATCAAATTTCAATGCACATAAGCCCAATCAATTGTCAACTTCGATCCGATTATGAAATGTAAATTAGCGCCAGCAAAAAAATTATCTCATCGCTGGCGCTTGGGGTGCTAATTGCAATGCCGATGCCGCATTCGGAGTGCGCAGCAGCAGCGGCAGCTGCTGGTTAAGCCGCAGTTTCCGCAGTCGGTGGGCAGTGAAAGTCGCCAGCGATGCCGTCTGCTGTTGATCTCCTGACGCGACTGGCGACTGGTTTGCCCGCATTGGATCATCGATCGTGAGGGAAAAGAGTCGAGACTCAAATGCACATTTCATGGGCAAGCGCTAATGAAACCATCCCGCCGCCTCTTTTAATTGTTGACAATGCGCCTGAAAGCGATTCACAGAAAAAAAAAAAAAAAACAGAGTGCCAAGCAGGAGAAACCCGGAGAGGGTCTCAAATGTCGTGCTATTGACAGGCGACAGCAGGCCCACCCGGCTGGAAAGTGCGCGAATGAGAAAATCGCGTTTGAAAATTAGCCTAACACGCATTAATTAATTTTGTTTTTCTAATATCTAATATTTGGGGAAATTAAGGGGAAAAGCTTAATAATTTTAGGTTTGCCTAAAGTGTTGACGTAGCTCTTCCAGCGCTAGACCTATTGCAAAGTCTGGTATTTAGATTCTACCTGGATATACAAATCTAAATTCGATATAAATCGAATCATTCAGCTTATACATATATATTTATCCAACAGGGCTTATTAACTCAGGTAATTGATTCATCATGCCTTATTTACGCTCCACACTTCGCAATTTTCAAAGACGAAACTAAATTTTGCAATTTGTTGCTTTGCGCATCTTTGAAGCATTTGCTCATAATTTCCATGTGTGTATGTGTGTGTGTGTGTGTTGTGTTAGCCGTTTGACAGTTTGGTAAACAAATTGTGCGCATCTATTATAAAACTGCACTAAAGTGACAAAATTGTATTCCATTAGTTCCACTTGGCTGGCAAGACCAAGTCAACAACAACAACCACAACAACAACAGCAGCAACGACAACATTTCACACTATCTTTTGCACTTTGTTGACACATTTGGTAATTACCATAAAATGCCGCTGGATCCTCATGGCTCCCGCTTAACGTTGGCTGGGGGTTGGCCCTAGACCAAAAAATGTAACACTAATTCACTTGGGCACGAGAAATTATCAAATTATTATGTGTGTGTGTGTGGGGGGGGGGCACCACTCGCTTCGTGGGCAACGCGCGCAACTCTTTGGGCCACTTTCGTGGATCTGACTGTCGCACTGGAGTTTGGGGAGCCAGGTTAAATAGACGGCGCACAGGTGCAGCCGGCGCCAACTAACCGAAAACGAAATGAGAGCGCCAACAAAATATTGAAAATGAGAGCGAGTCGCTGCAGAAGCCGAAGACCTTGAATTCTGATAACGGTTTTGTGTGTAAACAATGACAAAGCGAGCTTTTGGCTGCCTGGCAAAAGCTCAGCTCAAGCTGAGCGTAGCTTGAGCTCAGCTTGCAATAGAGAGAGAGAGAGAGTGTGTGTGAGAGCGAGCGAGAGTGAGAGCGAGCGTGGGCCGGCATTTGCTCTTCTCTTTTGTGCTGCGCATTCGCATTTGTTTGCAGCGACGCGACGTGCAGCTCGAGGAGGCAGCGGGTGCAGCCGCTGCTTCAAATGTTGTAATCGCAGCCAAGTTTATGGCAATAAAAGTTATAAATCTTAATACAAAAAAAGGCCAAAAATGACAATAACAGCAACAACAACAGCAACAACAACAACAACAACATTGGCGCAATGCAAATTAATAGCACGAAATGGGAAATCAACGAAAACGAAAACAAATTGTATGGCAACGTTGCGCATATCTTTCGCTTAGCTTAGCTTGGGTTAGGTTGGGGCTTTTATAATGCGTATATTTTGTTGCTGCTGCTTTTGGGAATTCTTGTTCAATAATGACGACACGAAGGCCGTCACGTTCGTGAGGCGCCTGATGTCCACACACAACGGATTGCCTTTGGGATTGGGCAGCAGCGTATCAATTAGTGGCTTTTAATGTAATTTATAAGCCATACTTGGCGCTCTAACTCGGTTAAGGGCAGTCGCTCGCAGTTGCGTTGCCTGCCAAATGGCATCTAAGCACAACAGCAACAACAAGTGCGTGCATTTTTGCATGTGCAACAATGTGGCAACGCTTGGCCAGCAAACCAATTGGAAAAATGCCGCCGCTTTAATATGGCGCATTTTATTTCCTGCATCTTTTGTTTCACTTGTGCACATTTTTTAAAGAAAAAAATAAACAACTGAAAAACATGCGGAATTCCATTCGAAACAGCGCTCTTTAAATGGCTTGCTACATTTCCAAGAGCCAAATTAATTGCATGTTGATTTAGTTTTTCAACAATTCCCCCGGTTTCTTGTGCACGAGCAGGGACCAGTTGCCCAGTCTGGGTCCGAGTTCCACGTGGAAGCGTGCGTGTGTGGCAGCGTGTGGTTCCGTTACTTAGTGGGCAGCTCTTGGCCAAAACAAGTAAGGCAACATATTGCATAATATATATTATTGTGTAGCAAAAGTTCAAAATAATGGCCTGTTAAATCAATCAAGAAATGATCGAAAAGAAAAAAAAAAAAAGTTAATATTATAGATGTGTGCATGCTTTTCCTGCTGCCGAAAGTAATTGGAATTCATAAATTATTTATATAGTTAACAATTGGGCTTGGTTAGCTGCTAAATATAACCTATAAATAATAGTATTTGGCAGCGTTATATATCTCGAATTGTTCGCTTGAATAACTCAAATGCGTACATATCCATTTGCCCGGCAGCTGCCCCATAAGGAAGTGGCAGCAACATGATTCGCACCAGACGAAAACTAAACTTATATTAATATTCATTAAAGTTAGATAAATAAAATGTCCGCCAGCCGCTGCAGCATGCGTTTCAGGAAGTGGCCTGAGAGCCGCAGACTCCAACTGCAACAGCGAATTGCAACTGAAACTGAAACTGAAACTGGAACTGGAACTGGACTTCAGTGCAAATGAAATGCGTAACAAAATGTTGATAGACACCAGAGACACCACATTGGGCCGCCCAATGGCAAATGCGATGCATGGCTTCCTTGCCACTTGCGTCTGGTTTCCTTTCTTGCGGCTCAAAGTCAACGCGAGCTGGTCGCCATGTCGCCATCTCGCCATCTCGCCATGTGATGTGTTATGATGGCAGGCAACGTTGACGATGATGACGACGACGATAAATCCGACGGCAGCAGCCGTTGAACCACTTTTACTTTTCGAGTCCAAATTGTCTGATGGCGATTTGTTTTCTATTTGTTGTTGTTTATTTATTTTGTATTTTTTTCATATTTATTCATGGCCTACGAATTGGCCACTCGCTGCTCTTATCGTGGCAGTAATCAGTCAATGTGTTAAGTGCTTAAGCGTCCAAGGGTGTCTGTGTGTGTGTGTGTGTGTGTGTGTGTGTGTGTGTGGTGTTCCGGCAGGAAAATTGGAGCAGCATTTGGCATGCACTTCCTGCACTGCACCTGATTTGAATGACCAAGAGGCGAGATTGCAGAGATTGGCCAATCGCTTTGGCCTAGACGTGGGCGTGGGCGTCTGTGCCAAGCAAATAACTCAGGGCGACACTTAAGAGATGGGGGCGTGTCCAGCTGTTTAACATAGTCGCCGCATGTCAATGAACCACATATTTGGCTGTGGCAGTGGCTCTGGTACCTTATGCATTGCGCCTGCGCCAGCGCCTGCACCTTTTACTTCCGATTCACACATGGCTTCCTGCTTGGCCACCAAAATAGGCAAATGCTGCTTTTTGGGCAGCTGGCCGAACCACTTGCAGACAGTTGACAAGTCCAAGACGTACACGCACGCACCAAAGGCAATCGAGATCTTGTCGCGGTAGTTGTTGCTGTTGCAGTTGCGTTGTTGTTTTATGGCTCGATAGCTTGCCGCAATTTAATTGCAAGCCCCTCCACAAGCTCGCCCACTTCGCCGCTTCGGCTGCAACAAGATCAAGCTTGAACTTCCCCAAAAGGCCAGCCAGCTTGCATTTGAAGCTGCAGCTCGCTCAAGGTCACACGAATGCAATTGCAATGTGACCCAATCGTTGTGGCAACAAAAGACTTAAGACACAAACCCCATACAATAAAATTTAAATAGGCATAGAAATTTCAAATCACGTCGCGTTCAATAACAAAGCCAACTGCATGAATTATGTCTTTATGGCTCTATTATGCCCCCCCCCCCCCCGCCTCACTTGACGCATTTGCATAATAAGCGCGACTCGCACCTCATTTGACAAGAAAATAAATTCAACGAGACGCACGGGCGCCAACGACGAACGGAAATGCATATGCATATGCATATGCTATGTGGGATCTTTCAGTGCAGCTGGGAATGGGCTGTTGAAACAGGTTCTGTCTGTGCTTGCTGCGTTCGTTGACCGTTTGGCAATCAATAATTGCGCAATCGTTATGGCCATGACGTTGTGCATGTTGCCAACGAGGAAATCGAACGCTCTAGACTGCTTCTTTTCAGTCTTGCCAGTCATGCGGGTTCTTCAAAGCGCTGCTCCACTCACTTGGCATTTGATTAAGCGAGTTGTAATTCATGCAAATTCGATATGGCTTTGATTTTGAAGCATTTGCACACTCACTGGGCGTTGGCTTGGATTGTAAATACACCGACATCATCTTCATCGGTTTGGCTCGAGTGGCATTCAGTTGGTCAGTCAGTCAGTCAGTTAGCTGCAGTCACGCTTGCCAATTGTCGGGCATATGCAAAACGGCAAGCCAGCAAAACGGCCAAAGATGATTGCGTAATTGCAATGCGCCTGCTTTTACCAGCAACTGAAGAAGCGGTCAGCTAAAATATTGGTTTCCGTTTAATTCATTTTGTCAGCGCAACGAGGCATGAAATTAGCATGGAAATTATTAATTCCCACAACCCAGCCGGCTTTACCTCTCCGATTAATTGGTGGCTTGAATCAATGTCAAAGCGTGTCTCAGCGTGTGGCACTCCAGTTTGTTGTTTAAGTCATTCGACGCCTTTGCAATGTTCGGGGTGTAGCTTTGTCATGTGCAAAGAATGTACAGCATACTCTTGGGCATAACAGTCAAAAGTAATAGCTACAAATGTTCAGCATACTCTTGGGCATCTTAATAACATATAGCTTACATTTGTTTTGAATAGAGGGCCGCAAGCCACCAGCTTCTCGCGTTAACCAAGGGAGGGCGCAAAATCTAACCGGTTATTAGTTGATACACGAACCACATATTGCTTAGCCTAGATGGCGCCATACGGTTAGAATCGTCTGATTGCATATATTTGTAGAAAATTTGGCAGCAACATCTCGGTCAGCGTAAAATTAAATCAGCTTATCAGTTATAAGTGGTAAGCAGTTACCACAGACGGAGACTGCTGTAAGAGAGGGCGACTGCTGCTTACTGCCAAGCAGCAACAGGTTTTCCAATAATTTTACAATTTAAAAATCTCGGGAAAATACACTCAGAATTCGAATTAATATACCTTTTTCTACTTTATTTCAGATATGAAATGATGTCATTCCATTCTATGCACAACCACGAGCTAAACGTGCCCAATCTGCCATGAATCGAGCTTTATTTGGTCAGGATATAGTTATTTTAAGTTTTTCAATAAAATTCGTGTGGTTGTGGACTAGCAGTAAACATTGTATACTTTCGTGCAGTTCACATTATACGTATAAGCCTATTAGAGTAGCTCTTTACTGCATACTTTTAGGCCGCCCGTTAAAATAACCATTCACAATAAACACAGTGCAGAAACATTGATTAGATATTAAAATGCAAACAACTCGGCGAAGTTCAGTCCGATTTCGAAGTGATACAGCCATTTAAGGTTTACAAAAAATTCGTATGGTTGTGGACATAGAAGTAAAACAAAATATTGCATACTTTCGCGCTGTCCAAATAAAACGTATGAGCCTATTAGCATAGTAGTTCTACTGCATACTTTTGAGCAGTCCATAAAAATAACCATTCACAATAACACATTGCAGCAAAATCTGATAAAATATTAAAATGGAAATAACTCGGCTAAATTCAGTCCGATTTCGAAATGATATACCTCTTGGCGGTTTCTATGGACCTCCCCGAGTAGCCCGTCCCTTTTTGACCGTAATCGGGCTTTATTTGGCCGAGATATGACCATTTAAAGTTTACCAAAAAAGTTCGTGTAGTTGCGGACACGATATTCACGACATAATCTCGCCATGATCAACGGCGAAGTTATGTCGCTTTGAAACGTCATATCTCCGCCGCTCTAAAAAAATCTTGGAGATATGACGTTTCAAAGCGACATAACTTCGCCGTCGATCTTGGCGGATTCTATGGACCTCCCCGAGTAGCCCCTCCCTTTTTGGCCGCTATTGGGCTTTATTTGGCCGAGATATAGCCATTTTAAGTTTTCCGAAAAATTCGTGTGATTGTGGACACGATATTCACGACATAATCTCGCCATGGTCAACGGCGAAGTTATGTCGCTTCGAAACGTCATATCTCCGCCGCTCTAAAAAAATCTTGGAGATATGACGTTTCAAAGCGACATAACTTCGCCGTTGATCTTGGCGGATTCTATGGACCTACCCGAGTAGCCCCTCCCTCTTTGGGCGCTATCGGGCTTTATTTGGCCGAGATATGACCATTTAAAGTTTTCTAAAAAAAGTTCGTGTAGTTGTGGACATAGAAGTAAAACAAAATATTGCATACTTTCGAGCAGTTCACATAATGTTGCGGCAGCTGCTAAAAGCGACAGTAAAATTATGCCATTAAAATTTGCGATGGTTGATTTAACAGATGACTGTTAAGAATATTTTTTTTGCACCGAGTGGATATGCATGAAATTTTTCATTTATACAAATTTTAATTCGTCTACCTGCTGGGCATTTATGTTCGCCTGGTATTTCTGCTGAATTTTGATTTAAAACTGTGAGCCAACGACCGGGCCGGACCCAGTGCAGTGGTATTCTGCAAACGTTAATTTTTAAACCCTGATTTAAATGTAAATAATGCTTTCAAGCGATTTATTCTGAAATTTGGAACTATAGGTTCTCCAAGAAAGACTCTATCAATTGTATGCTTAAACCAAGGTCATCTGGGAATTACAAATTATTTTGGTTAGACTATAGTCAAAGAACTTTGATGTCAATCTGCTCTATGGACCTCCGCGAAATTTACGCGCACAATTATCCTGGGATCGGTCTTTATTTATTTACTTGTAAGCTAAGAGGGAATCTTGTCAGGATCGGACGCCATCTTGCCAAAATAGATCAAAATATCTGAAAAAATATAAGACAATTAACAATAACTATTTAAGATTTATATTATTATTTTTTAAATAATTGTAGAAGAAATATACGAAGCACATTAAATGAATAATAAATAAACTCCGTTTATAAATAATAGGTTTTTAGGTTTCCCAGATGTATATTTAAGGTATGGCATAACCCAAGATATATGTGTGATCTGCTAACCATCGGGTGGGCTTATAAAATCTTTAGCTTAATTCCAAATAAACTAGCTTTTCGAAACACTTGAAAGGGCGGATAATTATAGTTCAATCTTGGAAAGATACGGAAGTCTGTTGAGCATAAAACATTTCGGATTTCTAAAAGAATCTAACTTACGCAGATTATTTTAGCGTGTGTATAAATCAAATTTATTGAAAATATGTATTTAATGCTGTTTCGATCAGAACACAGTAACTCGCTTTTTTTAAAAAAAAAAAACGGCTTAAGACAAGTGAATGAATGTCATGACTAGGTAAATGTTGAACCTGCGTTTCCTGACCAGCAACAAGTTTAAATAATACCATCCATATAAACTCTGCACAGTTAACTCAGTATTCATTTCAGTTAGTCTGTGTTGCCCCATTAATACAATATAATACACACACATAGAAGTAAGCAACTACAACTAAATAAAAGTGTTGCAATGAATTTGTTAGCCAAATTGGAGCAACTACCAGCAGTTGGGACGCCCAGTGGCCAGGCTAGTTCATTCATTAAATGCAAATTTAGTTAGTTGTCAATCATTGTTTTGTTACAATTGTTTGTTGTTTGGCCTCTTCATTTATTATCTCCATATTCTCTCTCTATTTCGCTGGTCGCCCCACTCTAGATGAGTGGATGTCAGCATAGAGGGGGTGCGCGGTGTATTTATTACAGCGCTTCAACGCAATTGCATTTTACGACTTCCTCGAGCTGCATTATTATTAACCAGTTAGCAGTTGGCCGTCTCTCAGCCGCGGCAACTGATACGCTAAATGGCCAATATGTGACGCCAGCTTTGTCATGCAGCACCCCCCCCCCTCCACCGCCGCCCACTGTCCCCTCGCTGGCCTCTTACTCCGTCCCACTTCTACTCCACCGGGCAGTAGCTGGTTTGTCGTTTGCCGCTTGTCGTTTAAACTGACTGATTTGTTTTTTCTATTTTCATTTATTTTGTATTTTTTTTTGCCTTCTTCAATATTTGCATGTTGTAATTTTTGTTATGCAGCTCCTCTGATGGGGGGGCAAGACAATGTGCAATTGTTAGCCGGGCAACGCAATTGTATTTTTTTTTTTGCCGCATTTTACAAGCAGCCGCACGGATTTAAGTGGTTTGACGAGGTGTTTTCACAGCATCGTTAAATGTAAATAAATGTTATATTAATGGGCGCTATGAATTTATCTCCAAAGCGTTGACAAATTCATTTCGCAATCTGCAATTATTAACAAGCTTAACATTCATTGCACGCAGCTATGCAAAGACGGCCAAATATGTTTGCTTCTGATTCTGAGCGCGAACATATATATATATATATATATATATATATATATATTTCAATATTTGCTGTGGCACAATGGGAAAGTACATATTGCAAATGCCAGCAGCTTGTGCGTAGGAATTTCAAGGCACAGCTATGCAGCTATTTGCGTATTTACTGCATGCTATCTATATTAGCTATGAATCAGTGGCAGAATGCGCGTTAAAGGCTGCCCCCAACCCGCTTTAACATGATTTCTTGTCGTGTGACCAAACAAGTTTGTTGCCTGAGTCTTTTGTTTAGGCACAGCCGCGGTCTATTAATAGCTACAGCAGATTTATGAGCTGGCACAGCCTATAACCAAATCGACGTCGCTCGACAACGCAATCTCGGCCGCCTTTTAATTACTATTATTTCACCGTCTTGCCACATGGCACTCGCTCAGCCATTTCGCCGATCTGTTGTCATTGTTTTTGCGTTGCCACATTTCTCTTGGCAAACATTGACAGCTTCTGGTGCGCAATTGGGCGGCGACCTTGCCGCTGGCTGCTCCACATCTGCAAACAGATGACCCACATGCCGGCAGAGATCAAGGCGTTGGCAGCAGCAGCAGCCGCATTAAAATTAAATTCAGCTGATGCGTGCAACAACCTTTTGCAGCGCTGAGCTGCTTCACGCTTGGCAGCCAAACACTTCGGGCAACTCACGTGCCGCCTACTGTTGTTGTTGTTTGCGTTGTTGTTGTTGTTGTTTACTGCGGTTGCTGTCATCGCTGTTGTTGTCGCTGTTGTTGTTGTTGTTATCGTTGTCTTGAACCTGAGCAGCGGCGCGAGTTAACTTAAACCATAAATAAATAAATAAATAAATATTTCAGGCGAGTTTGTTTTTCTTTTCTTTTTTTTTCTTTTTGCCCGTGTGTAAACAAAAGATTTATTACAATAAGCATTTCTCATTTTATTATAACATATATTATACACACCGTTTTTTTTGTTGGTCGTTTTTCTTTCTTTTCTTTTTGCTGCCTTTTTTTTGTTTATCAAATTTATTTTTATTACTTCTTTTCAATTTGCAGCCCGTTCGTTTGTTTTGTTTTTGTGCGGCTTGTGCAATGCAGCTGCTGCTGCTGCTGCTGCAACAGTTAATACAACAACAACAGCAACAACAACAACAACAGCAGCAGCAGTTGTTGACTGCGTCTTGCTTCACTTGTGCGTAAAGTGTTTGCTTGTTGTTGTTGTTCATGTTGCTGTTGTTGTTGTTGTTGTTGTTGTCTCAGTTTATTGTTGTTGCTATTAAAAATTTGAATTTCGCATGACACTTGCGTAGATTACATAAAACGACGCGAAGCTGTGCGCAATTTGCAGCTGCCGTTGATTGGTTTAGTCCATCAGAGTAGAAATATTACGCATACGCCGCGTGCTGCGCGAAGGCGATACAATTGAGAGATTAGCTGGCCGGCGGGGGCACTCGCATTAAGGCCTAAGCCTAAGACACTTACAGCTCACCATAAAACAAACAGCTTGATTGCGTTCGAGGTAACAAGACAGCAACAACAATGGGCACAGCATCAATTAAAACAAAGACATTTAACAATTTGTAAATGAGGCAAAGCCACGAAAATCCAAAAGCATTTTTACATTTTGCATAATGCAACTTTTCACAATGCAGCTCGTCCGTTTATTTAGTTTTCAGTTTCGCATTTTGAGCTATGGAAATTAATTTGATAAAAAAGAGCTTGTCACAGCTTCTTTGACATTGTGTTCATCTTGATTGGCTCGAACGCGGCTTAAAGAGACCTTGAGATGCCAACCGGCAATTGTTTCCTAATAATTGATGATAACTGCTTGCGGTTAATTAAAAGCTCAAACTAGTCTATATATCAACCAAAAAAAAAAATAAGGAATGCTCAGATAAGAAGATTATTGTAAGAAATTAAACTAACCAATAAATAAAACGCAGCAAACACAACACCTCGATGCCAAACTGGATTTTGCACCCGGCAGCTAGATAAATTGTCTATTGCATAAAATATTGATATAAAAATTTCAAGATTAATAAATATTAAAAATATATAGAATATTTGAGAAGATTAAGTATAGCTAAATATAAGATGCATATAATTTGAACCGGCAACCTGCCACTTGTATATTTTTTTTTACAAAGAAATTAATTTTCTATTTGACTTGATAATAATCTTCCATTTTCAGTCCAAATACGATGCCCTTTTAAACTAAATATTTCCGCCCAGTTGTCAATTTATTTACCTCAACGAAAACTTGGGGCGGGCCGCGTGCCACGGTTGGATCTGTGAATTTGTGAAAAGCTGAGCGGCATCAATAAGAAAAACTCCCGTTTGTTGCGCTCCCCTTAAATGTTAGCATGAACTCGAACTTTTGGTTAAGTTAACATTTTGTTGTTGCAAAATTACCTAATCGTCGCAATTGTGGCCGTGTCTGGCGTTCAGTTTTGGTATTGGCTGCAGCAACAGCAACATCAACGGCCGCCAGTTGCTTCCTCGGCTGCTGTCGCCGCCGGCTGCTAACTAGACCTGCATACAACTGGGTAAGCCAAACAGCTGGTTGCTCTGTTGGCTTGGGGAGGGAGCTGGGGTGTGGGGTTGGATCACGTGTTAAACCGATGTCGGCAGCGGTTTTTGGCACACAAACACACAGAGAGAGAGAGAGAGAGGGGAGACGCCAAAGAGCGAGTCAATTAATGCAACATGTTGCAACAGCGGCGACCGAGTGACTTGGACTTCAATTGAATGCAGCAACTGAGGCTGCAGCGTCGCCCCCTAACCCTAAACCGCAGAACCGCATTCAACATTCAACTTGAACAGGAAGTCAGGCGTTATTGTTGCTGCTTATCTGGCCGATGATGAGATGCTTCCTTGAGATTTATTTGGCATCTGCATCGGATGCACACACTCGCTGCCGCAGTTGCAGTTGCAGTTGCGATTGCCAACGCTTTGCGGCAAGTTCATATGCATTGGCTTTGGCTCTTGGCACTTGGCCTCTCGCTGCTGCTGCTACTGCTGTTGTTGTTGTTGTTGTTGATGCGGGCTGATGCCGATTGCAACAATCGTGAACAAAAAAAAATAAACTTGCCCATTTTGGACATTGCGGGCGGCGGCGGCGGAGCAACGCTTATCTAAGCCCCAACTTCCGTGTGTCATGAGGCCCGAAACTTTATGAGTTGCATCTTCCTCTTAATGACCATCTAATGGCAGCATGGCTGGAGATGGAACAGCTCTTGCGCAATGCGATGCGGCCAATGAAAGTAAAAGGAGCAGCCCAAGCCACAGTTGAAGCTGTACATGAAGCGGATGCTGGCTGGGGTCACGTTTCATCACAGCATCTCTTGGGTGGTTTTCAATCTTCAAGTACTGAAATCTCACCACAATTATATATGAATTTTTGATTGTTTTTTATGACTTTTATTTTTTATAATTTTTTTTATTTTCATCTTTTCGCTTTACATGGTGATTTCTGTACAATTGTTTATGATGTTCATAACGATATATGTTTATGGTTTTCGGCAAGGTACATATTTACAAACCTTCAACTTGTTTTTGCTTTATAGTTTTTGAGCTTCATTCTTCATTGAAGTTGAATTCCAATGGCAAATCCAAAACGCCAATTAATCAATTTTCATAACTTAAAGACAAACGCGCGCATGACTAATTTGTACACTTAAGATATAGATAGATATATAAAAGAGAGAGAGAGAGAGAGAGCGAGACAGGAAAAGAAATGGAAAGTGAGCAAAATTTGTCAACAAAATGCAAACGGTATGTGTGTTGCTGTGTGTGTGTGTGTGTTTGTTGAGGATTGAGGATGATGTATGCCAATGCAAACTTAAGTATTAACAATTTTGTAATAACAATTTGTCAGCCAAAAACAAAGAGCGATCGCTTTTGGCAACTGGAAGCCAGGGGGGCAGTTATCAGTTATATCAGTGCTGTCGCATAGTTTGCGAGATTGTTGGAAGTTAGCGCCTGCTGCTTAGTCCCAGCCATGTCCGTGGCCATGGCTGATTGGCACCCAGACCTTTTCCCACACCGGCTTCCAGACCTTTTTCCATTCTTGAACCTTGACCTCCTTCCAGACGGGCACCTGCACCGATTGCCATTCATCCTTCCACGCCTGCTTCTTTTCGGTGGCCCAGACTTGTTTCTTTTCAGTGCGCCAGATCTGTACCTTCTCCTCTACCCATGTTTCGCGCTTCTCCTTGATCCAGATTTGTTTCTTGGAGTTCTTCCACACTTGTATCCATTCATCCTTCCATTCAAGTTTCTTGTCTTGCTTCCACTCTTGCACTTTCTCGGTTTTCCATTCCTGCACCTTTTCGGTGCGCCATTCCTGCTTCTTCTCGGTGCGCCATTCCTGTTTCTTTTCTGTGCGCCACACTTTCTTCCACACGGGCTTCCAGATGAGCTTCTTGCGCCACAGATCGTGACTGGTGTATTCCCAACCCTCGTGATCTTTGCCCAGGAACTTTTCACCAGGTATGCCCATTTTCACCTAGCAGGATTGTTGTTGGGATTAAGTTTGGCACAATGCCATTTGATTGCCTATTTCTTACCCATTGGGGCTCAAACATTTGCTTCCAGTCAGCAACCTGTACTTCCTTCCACACTGGCACCTGAATTTCCTTCCAGAACGGCACTTGGATTTCCTTCCAGATGGGCACCTTGATTTCCTTCCAAACGGCCACTTTTGTGGGCACCCAAATGGGTTTCGTTATCTTCTTCCACTCGGGCACTTTGATGTCCTTCCAAGCGGGCACTTCGCGTTCCTCAATTTTGGGCTTCTTGACTATTTTCCAATCGGGCACTTGTTCCTCCTTCCAAACGGGCACCTATAGCATGTACTCTTTTTTTAAAAACATGGATCCTTTTTGGCTGGCTTCCGTCTGCTTACCTGAACCTCCTTCCATATTGGCACCGAAACCTTCTTCCATTTGGTTTCCCATGCCTCTTTTTTCACTGTCTTCCACACCTGCACCCAATCCTCCTTCCACGTAAGCTTCTTTTTCCACACACCCTCGGGCGGATGTGCGTAGGCTATGCTAAGGATTAGCGCGCAGCTGGCGCTGAGTAGCTGTGGGCGGCAGAGAAGCGCAGATAATCGATTAAAAACTTTCCAAGCCAACGATTTCAAACTTAAGATCACTCATTTCGCAAAAATTTCCAATTAACATTTTTTCTTCCATAATTTTTCTAATTATTTTTTTTACACACTGCAATTCACTTTTGAACACTTTGAACCGTTATATGTTATCGCTTATGCGATGTAGCGCGAAACTAACCAACAGATTTAGGGATCTCATGCTTGGAATCCCTGTACCACCAACAGCGCGTTAAAACAAAAGAGCTGAAATGTGCCTCCGCTGAGGTCTTCTATGAACACTATTCGCATTTCCCTACATGCACATCTATTTATATTTTGAATGCGAAGCGCCAAAGAAACGCAGCGACGTCGGCGTCGCAGCGGCAAAAACAGCAACAATTTTGCCCAAAAAAGCAACAACAAACAGCAGGCGATCGCAGCAGCGGACGCCAGCAGCGGCTCTTTGGTCTGTTGCTGTGCCTATCTGCATGTGTGTTTATGTGTGTGTGTGTGTGTCGAACCGCTGCCGCTGCTGCTGCTGCCACAAAGCTTTCGGTCACAGCTTCAGTTTGAGCTTTAGTCTCGGCTGAAAGCGCCCGCTTGTCGCCCAATGTGCAAAATGCACGCAACTGCCAATAACTACGCCAACGCCGACACCGACGCCAGCGTCGCTGCCAGCGTCAGCGTCATCGAAAGCGAAAGAGCCCAATGAGAGTGAGAGTAAAGCGGCACTTGGGGCTCCGTGAGAGCGCTCAGCGTTGCCGCTTGTTTTGTCTTTCGTTGTGTGACGACCCCAACTGAATGATGAATTGGACTCGGCCTGACGATGACTGCTCGGATTTTCCCAAGGTAAATCAGACGCAGCAGCCGTAGCCGCAGTCGCAATCTTCAAATTTTTGCGCCATGGTCTTGGAGCTGAAGTGCGCGTAGGAGATTTAGTTGATCTCAAGCGCGAATGTGATTGCGTATGCCCCAGAGCTAGAATGTGTCGACGCGTCCACTGATTAACCGACTAACGACGGACGACTGCCCCCCACAGGCTGACAGCTAATTATGTTACTAATAATGATGTCCAAGCTGTTAATTGCGTGCGGGCCAATACTGCATAAGGTCAAATGCGGTCGTGGGCGTCGCAGCCTGCTACAGTTATTGGTTAAGAGGCTACGTGCGTGCATTTTATACGACATGTTTAGCTTGGTTAACTGAACTTGAGTGGCAAACAATTAGCACAGTTCGGGTTTGGCCTGCAATTCGCCAAAAAAAAAAAGTCAAAGCGCCGACAGGCATTTGTGTAAACAAAAAAGCAAACGACCTTCGCAACGGGACGCAGCATGAAGACGTAAAGCGATGACGAAGGCAACAACAGTAACAGTAACACTAACAACTCTTGTGTTGGTGCTGGTGCTCCGCTTCAGCGGATCTGGGGGCCACCAATCGTTGTCTAGCACTAAATGGCATTTAACATTTTTTAGCATGGTAATAAGGTGCGCGTTTTATGACGGACCCCCAAACATAACAACAGAAATGGCCATTATAAGTCTAATAAATGCGCAATTAACACTTACCAAGATGTCGGGTTCTGCCGGGCAGCTACTGTCTGCATAGTTGACCCTTTGCTTTTCAATACACGAATATTAATTGCAATTAAAACTCGCAAAAATGCATTCTAAGTGTGGTCGCGTATCACTAATAGCTTTTTGGCAAAAACTAGGTGTAGCCAGATCGGGTGTGTCTATGTGCAGTGTTGTGTTGCCATCCAATTGGAAACCTCATAAATAATATGCAAAAGTTGTAATTGACAGTGTCCACAAAATCAACAGTGTGCACAATAACAACAAGCAGCAGCAGTGGTTACATCACAACCGAAAAGCACAGAAGGAGCAGCGGCAGGAGGTGGGGCAGCTGCATGAAATTGCAGTTGCGGCCTTCAACGCAAAAAGTAAAGAAAAGAAGTGCACAACAGACAGCGAAGACACAACGGTGGCAACGCCAACAGCTGCGACATGTTAAGCCCATTTACAACAAAAATAAAAGAAAAGAAACGAAATGAAATGAAAAAAAAAAAAACGAAACTTGAAATTAGGTAAAAATACACAGCGCAAATCAAGGAAAATGAAACTGAAAATAATGAAGAATGCGCAACGTCAGCAACAATAAGAGCCAAAGCGTAACTCGGCTCAGACACAGGCACAAGCCCGGCTCAGACCAGGCCCAGTCCCAGTCGCAATCCCGGGCCTGTGCATGTGCAGTGGGTCCACTTGACTTGGTTTTGTTTCGGTCCCAGACTCGATTGCGCTTCTACAAATGAATTGAAATGGAAATTGAAATTCCTGCAACGTGCGCCAACAACAATGCGGCGACTTGTGGATCAAGTTTGGTTTTGTTTTCTTTTTATTTATTTTTTTTTTGTTGACGTTTTGATTTTGGTTTCGTTTTCAGTTTCTTTGGCGCGAAGATGTCGTGGACGCAGGCGCTGCAGGCGACGTAAACACCTTTCGCCGTTGCTGGAGTCCCTGTCGGTTGCATAATTAATGGCATCTTCTCATTGATCTCGACGTTTATTTAGGTTATGCATGGCCAACGTTTGGCATATGAAGTGGAACAAGTTTTTTTAATGACCGGCTGCATGAGCTGAAGGACTTGTATCGACACAAATGTTCAATAAATAAAAACATTTATATACATTACCGCCAATGGGAAAATGGGACATGCAGCCAGTTTGAACGTCTATATTAAGATGTACATTACAAATAACTAGTTTTTCATTACAGTCCAAAGCGCGCTATTTCCTGACGTCTTTTCCATTTGGGTAAAACGCTGGAAGGTCTCTACTTAGAGAGTAACTCACAAGGCCCATGCTACTCCAAGGTCTCAGACTCATGCTCTTGCAGCTGGAGATGGCGGCAGGAAGACGTGCTGTCCAAGGACTCCAAACACTACCTAGTATAAATTACATTTAAGTTAATTAAATTCTTAACTTGAAACTAGTTTTAAACGATACAAATGCGGCATTTTTAGGCCTTTCCAATCACTTGTAGACTTCGATTGTTTAGGCCTGGCAACATATTCACCTGGAATGTGGCAACATAACAATTACAGCAAAACAAACACGCTTTTTGGCCTTCAATCAAGCGCTTAATGGGCACTAATCTCACTCTGAACCTCTTAAGACTCTTCCTGCAGCGTCATCGTCAAGTGTAAGCGTCTTTGACATATCGCGCCTGTAATTGCTTTTATTGCTTGCTCGGCTCGGTTGCTCCAATTCGTTACATGGTCGCGCATCACCAGCCGGTGCCAGGCTGTAGCTGCAGGTGCGCTCGGCTCAAGTGTTGATGGTAATGTTATTGTTACCACTCTTGCAGTTGACCCACATAGAGCGTAAATGAAATTAAAGGCGATTGCTGCAGCAAGCGAGCACCAAAACAGATATTTTGAGCAGTTCAGCAGATTGCCCGCTGACCGGTTGCATCATTACCCCCGCCGCCACCGTTCCAGACGAGCCGCAGCCAATTGGGTGCGACGTTTTGTCAGCGCAATTCCAATTAAATGCAGCATTAATTGCTCAGGTGCGCGCATTGTAAGTCGGAGATTTAGTTGAAGCTAGAGAAGCGTCCGCCGCAGGTGGCCAACACAACTTGTACATGACTTCTTGTTGGCATTAAGTGTTAAATGAAATCGAAATCCATAAGATTTGCGAATCTTCAGAAAGGTGCGTTTCTGCGCCAAGGTCGACCGGACTACAGCGCTGGACCAGGTTAACAGCTTGTTATGCGGATCATACCAGGTACTGGCTGCCCAGATAGACTCGCAGCATTAAGCAGTTATTTATGGCGGCTATAAGCGGTTGGCGCTGTTGCAACCACGACTGCGGTAATCTTGGCCATAAAGCAGAAGAGGTCGACATGGCGGCAGCACACAAGCACGCACACCCAGAACGGGCTAGGCTAATGATGAAAACGCTTTGGCATGCCCATCGTGGCGCTGTCCTGCCACAGATGCAGCGCTGTGCAGCACACGAAACCGGCTCAGTCGCTTAGTGGTTCAGTTTCGGTGCTGCGGAGATCTGCCCACAGGCTTCAGGCGGGCATTACGCAATCGGGCAAAAGCAAACGTAGCCAAGCCAAGCCAAACTGCGCACTGTCAGAGGTCTCACATTCCAATTTGCGTAGCGTCGCCAGTGTTGCGATCCTCCTGGTCATGTGACTGGTGCAGCAGCTGTGCGCGCGCGCGCGCAGATTTCCTCATGGCTAAGCGGCTCAGATTGATGAAGACACCTGGAACGAGACTGCAACGGCAATATTTTTTATTGCAACCATTTGACAAATATTGCTAATTAAACAGCGTTTGGCAATAGGCAATAGACGCCTACAAAGCGCAGACGCTGGCCCAGGCTCTGGGCATAAAGCGGAAGTTTGGGCGCCATCTTCCTGCCGCCGAAACACAATTGGCCATTGCGCAATCGGGCTGGCCCGCGACTAAAACACACACACGAACAACAGGTGTCGCTGCTTTTGCTGAAGATGCAGCCGCGTTACGTCAGCCCAAGACTTTCACATGGCTCACTCCGATTGAGCTGGCCAAGCAGTTGGCGCTGTCTGATTGAATGCTGTCCGTACAATTGTCTGGCTAAGTACCTCAACAGCCTGCGAGGAGGCAGCAGCAGCAGCAGCAGCTCCAATGTAAATTAAGTTATTTTATGTGCGTGCGAATCTTTCAGTCTGTGTGTGGTTTGGTTCATCAACAAGTATGTTAATTCATTCAGCGTTTTTTTATGGCATTTATTTGTCTATCTCCGTGTGCGTGTGTGTATGTGTGTATGTATGTGTTGCAACTGCAACATTTGCGTGCATTTTGTCGTGCGCCGCCTTTTTGTGATTTTTTTTTTGTACAAGTTTTAATGCTTTCAACTGTTGTTCCGCTTGTAACAGCCAAAAAGAAAAAAGACGCTGCACAGTGGTTCGCTTTACAGATGCTTATCGCCTTGCAGGTCTTCACATGCCGACCGCAGGCCAACTTTTCATTTACTTAGTTTTTCCACGCCAATTAGCTTAAATTCCCATCAGATCTTTTATATAATGCGCGCAGATGTGCTCAACCTTTTATGAGATTTTAAATGCTGCCAGACAGTTTTTAGGCTGCTTAGCAAATTGTATTTAATATGCCAATTAATGTGTCGAAATTTAAGGATACGGCTACTCTAATTTTTGCCCAAAATGATTTTGTCAATATGCGGACACACTTGCAATAACTTTTAAATGGTAAATAGACTGGAAGTATATCAAATATGTAGCACTTACACACCACTGTGCCTGCAGTATCTACTTGTTGTTGTGTTCAGACTGTGGCACACAAAAAATGTGTGCTGTGTGCGCTTTGTTTGGCCAACTTTTTGTCAGCTCCAGTCATATGCCACACATTGACAGGCAGCCAACAAGGAAGTTGGGAGCGCATCTTCCACGCGCGTCCAATTATGACAAATGGCAACAGCGATCGCCCACCGCCAGGGCTGTTAGTCATGTTGCATGTCACGAGCACGAGGAACTGAGCAGCCAGCTATGAATTATGGCTTGCAACACCTGCCAGCCAATTGCCCTGCGGCTGCCTTTTGTGGCAGCAGCAACAGCAATAAATCCAATGCGTCCATTGTCATTGTCGCTTGCCAAGAGGAGCAGGCGCTTACCAACACTGTAACTGGAACACACGCAGCGGCATCCGAAGAGGCGCGGTTGTGCGAAATGTGTTTACGGCTTTAACGACGCCTTGTTGCAATTCTCAGCTGTACAATAACGCGCCAGTCATGATGATGATGATGTCTATTGACCCAGTGCACATTGGCTGGCTCCTGCTGAAGGCCGCGCTGACTTGCGGGTGACATAATATGCCAATTTGGCAAAACGACTGCCAATGCGGAGCATCCATTTAAGTACTTGATATTATATGCCAGCGCTCTGCTATTTACGCGCATTTGATGTCTATTTCGTTATATGGCCAACAGCACGAGCCGCACGTTTACGTGAGCTGCGTTATATTGCAGCCGGGACACGCCCCCGGCCCTGTTTTCTTTGACTGTCGCAATTGGCCACGCAAAAGATCGCAACGTCATGGCAAAAACACCAAAAAAAAAGAAAAAGAAGAAGAAATCAATCGAAATAATTGTATCACATTTGGGTCAACATCAGCGCGTACAATCTAATAAAATCATCTTCACAATCTGCGCACTACAACATATTTTTTGTGGCTTTACGATTCAACGTTGATCAATTATGAAATGGGCGCTATTAACGTCGCGACCTTATCGACTTTCAATTGCTGGCGCTAAGCGGTTTTAGCTTATAATTATAAAAAAAGAAAATCATCGACAACAAAGGTGTCGATTAATTAAGTCGGCATTGAACCTCACACGCATCATAAAACATACCCATTAGCCGGCTAATACACGGCATTTGCAGCTAACGATCTGATAGATAGTTCGGCTTGTTGTTTTTTTTTTCTTTTCTGATCTGTCGACGGGTCGTCCCTCCCTCCCTGCGACCGAGACTGTGCTAAGTGCACATCATTAAAATTGGTACACATGCCACCATATATTTGTGGGGGTCAAGGGGCGTATTCACGCGCTCTGTGCCTACGACCTGGCCAGTTAAAAGTTACCACCAGCAACTTGGCTGGTTGTATAAGCTGCGATGCCGCAGTTCCACTTTCGGTCTTTAACAAGCGACGCAGCGATGTCGCACGCAAACGGAACGCACGAAAATTTGTTCATTTTCATTTTCTAATAATTTTAATTTATTTATGCGTGTGAACCACAGCAACTACCGTGTTGGGGCGGCAGCACTCATAAATCATCAAGTCGCGTTTTTTGTTTTCACAAAGACAAGTGAAAATGACCATAAATAAGCTGTAGTTGGCTTTCTTGGCATGCTTATTATTGGTTTGTATTGATGAGTCAGCATAAGGAAAATAGCAATTTGTTAGATAATTTAAATGTCAACAGATGAAGATTGCAAATCATTTTGCAATGCAATAAAAATAACACATGTTCAAAAAGCGCGCTCAACTTAATGTACTGAGCTACAGTCATGCGCTTGTTCAACACTGGCATGACATGTACTATACAGCTATCTTCCTTACACTTAAACGATTGCGACGTATAGGCAGTTCAACTGAAAACCATACGCTAAAACGAGATAGCTGCCTCTGTTAGCAGCACAGTTTTGAAAGCACTGAGAGTTTGGCGGTTACATTTAAAATCTGAATAAATACAGTCTGAGCATTGTTTTGAGGAAATTTTAATGTGCGGTGAATGTTTTTTAAATTTTTTGCTTTACTTTTATTATTTTATTGTTATGGCTTTGCGAGTTAAGTTTTTTCATTGTATATAACGCTGATTTAAATGGAACAGAAACATAAAATGCCATCAGAAATCGAAATTATTAAAAAGTTACTTTACATTAATATCTTTATTAATTCATATTTACATTCACACTTTTAAAATTAAGTACACAATTCGATTGATTTGTAAAAACTAATGCTCGTTTTTTTAATTGACTTTCGGCTAGGCTTTAATTGAACTGCACTTACGTCTAGGGACACAATAATTTAAACATTTAATATTAAAATTAATGATTAGTGATCGTTAACATTGCATTTAACTATATGTAACTGTGTGATGCTAAAAATCTAAGTCTTCTACTTCTACTTGCTGATTGCACAAAAACGCGTCTCAGCTGCAGTCGCAAGCCTTTCCCCATTGTGGACCGCAGTGGAAAAGTGTTTTAGGCGGTTGAACTAAACTAAACTACAGCTAAATTGCATATTTACAGGCTCTGTGTAACACTAGGACGGGTGCTGGGCAGGGCTAGGCAGGATGAGGGGCTCACTTCATGTAATAACTGCTCGGCGCACGGCCCGAGGTGTAAGTGCTCATGGGTATGCCCTGGGGGCCGGGTATATGATTGTTGACCGACGAGTGCGTCACTGACTGATTCTGTGAGCCATAAAGATGATCGACGCTGGTGTTGCCAATGCCATTGCCAGAGGGCTCATAGTCCACATCATAGTAGATGCCCGACTGATTCTGCGGTAATTAAAAATAAAAAAATGGATA